ATCTTCAATCTCAATGGAAGAATTATGCATCATTTTATAAATGATTGATATATGCTAGTGTTAGCTATATATTAAGTTTCCCAAAGTTAATATTTATTGAACTATATATAATAAAAAAACTTGCAAAGAAGATGCTTAAATTTAATGAAAAAAATGTAACAAAACTATAGAAATAAAACTTACTAAAATTAGTATTTAGTTCGAGTAGTTGTTGAGCCAAACTTAGTTAAGTTACACAAAAATTGCATACCGTTAAAAGGAATCGACTTTGTCATTTGTAGGGAAGCTTTAGGAAACGTTATTCTTCCATTTCGATACTCCATGCCTCATGTCAAGTGAATTTTAGCCAATAGAATCCATAATCCATGATCAATGCCGAGTTGGGTTTCCAAATGGTCAATTAGAGGTATGACTTGTGCCCGTTTACTAGAGATTATAATTAAATTTAAATTGACACGAGACCAAATGAAAGAGTCCTTCTATATATTTCCAACCATAATTACTTTTATTTCAATAGGCAATTCATAAATTGAAAATCTAACCCGAAAATAGAGATAATAAATAAATATATAATTAAATATTTGAAGTCAATAAACATCGTATTGTTCATTTGTTTGAAATCAAGAACCGAGATGAGAAATTTCAAATCTTTAAGTTTCATATGGTTTCAACTAGTTAAAAAAAAATATTAATAATTTCCTATTCTAATACTCATCACCTATATTTTAATTGTAATATTAATGAAAAGAGGGGGAAAAAGGAAGTGATGGCAGAAAAGGTATTTAATTAATTAAAAAACGATGTTATTGGCTCCAATAAAACCCCTATTAAGAAAATGATTAGCGTGCGGCCGGGAGTGAGATTTAGAGCGTAATCAAAATCAGTGGCATCATAACAATTTTTTTAAAAGAAAAAAAAAACACGTGAAAGAATTGACCCCGAAATCTCCAAAACAAACCATCTTCAGCAATCCGACAAAAGCTGACGTAACCTTATCTGATTCTGCTGGGCCGAACGCCCAACTTGCTCAGCCCACCGGCCCCATTTCCTCTCTTTATTCATTATTTTAATCATTTCTTAGTTTTTCAAACTTGGATTTTTTAAGCTCAATTTATAAGTTTAATCTATTTTTTTAACTTTTAGATTCTTTTTTGAAGAACTTAACTTTTTAGGATTATCCAATCATGTTGCGAATTTTAAAAAATATCTAATAAATTCATAAAATTTTAATTTTATATCTACAAAGTTCATAAAATTTAAATGTATTTAACAGATCTCTTTAACTTTTAATTTTCGTGTTTAATAAATTCATAAATTAAAAAAAAAATTATATATCAAGGAATTGTTATACAAACTTCTAATTTCACCTTCTTTGAATCTTAAATTTTATTCCAAAATTTTTAGTTTCCTACTTAAACATTTATACCAGGCTTAGTGAAACTTGTATTTTGAGCTATATTTATTAACTCCGGTTTCAGGTTTTAAGATAGATGGTACAAGAGGACAAACAAAATCATGAAGAATATTTATGAAATAAGTTCAAATTATAAATAAAACACTTTTTATATTTTTATGTGATGTGTAGGAATTTAATTGGTTTGAGAAAATTCATGTTAAAACTCAAAAAAGAAGGGGGAAAAAAGGAGAGATCAGAGAATCTTTTATTGGAAAACATCTTGCACATCACCTCCCAAAAGTGACAATGACCACCATTCCCTGGTGAATCCCAAACCTTGATTGAAAAGTAAAATATGACACGTCATTTTTTATATAAATATAAATATATATTTTTGTCGAAGTACAACATGTGAGGTGYGGATCGAACTCACGACCTCTTAGTTTGAGATATGTGTAAATTATCGCTAAGCTATATTCGCTTTGACGATGTGCCACTTTATATATTAGCATCTTAAAAAAAAAGTAATTATAAATCTTTGCACTTTTGCCTTGAATAATTTATAAAATGTCATTCCCAAGTAGTTCAATGGTAGAGTCTCAAGACATCTCTATAGAAATGTCCATTTGTATTTCTGCACGATATTTTAAAACAAAATAATTTATAAATATAAACAGTCTGATTGAGAGCTGGAGATTAGTTAGTCATTACTGAATTTTTTTTAATGTTGTTCATTTATAAAATCTTATCTAATATGATTCAATAACTATTCTAAGTTAATAGGGGATTTTTGTTTTTGTTGCATACCTTATAAGTTATAAGTAGTTAGTTTGCTATTGATATATAAAAAGCCTCACATGAACTTTATCATATTTTGGCCTAAATTTCTATATCCATGTGAGGGAAGTTTCCTTCAACATAAATCTCAATTATTTGGTAAACACACAATATCTTTGAAAATTGTTATCAATTCCCTTATATTATTCCATTATCTAATTGGGCAAAGATATATATAAAAATGAAAATAATTCATGAATCAATCTAAATCATAGTTTATTGCCAAAAGTGCATGCAATGCCTCCCCTTCAAACATTAATGCATTTGCTAAATTGAGAAATATAAAATGAACAAAGCCATTTCCTTGAAGCTTCTCTCAAAATCTTCCCTCATCAAGAACCCTAGATCCCACCCAATAATGAGATACATCAAACCCACCATTATACATTGCAATTTTTCTTTTTTCATTTGTTGGTACCAAATCAATGACCCCACAAAGAAAAAGAAAAGAAAAAAAGCAATGCCACTTTTTGTTCATGGATCTCCAAAAAATATTGTCATCTTCTTCCCACTTGGGGTAATTTCCAACCAAAAAAGGGCTTCATTTCGAAGCAAACCCTTTTGTTTAATTTAAAATCCCAATTATTATATGGTTGTGAAATTAATTTTGAAGGGATTTTGAACCCTTCACATGCGATAGATTTTTCTTCCTCTCTGAATGAGGGATAAAATTAAATGAAGGCAAAAATTTGCTGGCACAACAAATGCTATACCTCACCAACCAGGCACGCACTAACTGATTTACAATATTAATCCTGTGGGGCTTAAACAACTCCTTTTACTCCCCACTAAAAATACCCTTAAATACATATATTCTTTTAAAATTACGCATATAGGGTTTAAATTCACTATTATATGATTTATTAGTTAATGAAATTTATAATTTATAGATAATAAATAAAAGTTCACAGTGAAATATTATAGAACCCATGAATTATCCATAGACATTTTTCTATGAGCAATTAGAAAGTTCGTTTTGTTTCAAAGAAAAAAATATATATATTAGAAAGTTGGTTTCATGCATGGATTGCCTTTTTATTTTCTAAATAATATTTTTGGTGGGCTAGAAATAGAATAATACCATTTATTAAAATTTTAAAATTAAAGTTATGCCCTTTAATTTATTTGAATTAGATTAAATTAACATAAAGTTTTGTTGTTGGATTGGAAGGGAGGCGTAATTTAAGGGAGGGGTCCCACGAAAGGACAGTTGCACCGTCAGAGATGAATACAGTTACAAAGGAAAGGACCAAATAATAAAGACATTCCCCAGAAGTTATGGAGTTCAATGAACAACGTTAAGGACACCACTGTCCCATTTTCCTCTGTTTTTTGTCCCCCAAGATCAACCCTTCTAATCTAAATCCTTTCCACTTCTATTAATTATATTATTATTATTTTTTACATATTCTTTCTCAGATGAAACTTCGTACTCCTAATTTATTGTATTGAGAAAAAAAATTCATTTTTCTAATATTTGATCATTATAATTTTTTTTGTTTTGTTTTATTTTTAGAGCGTGCCACTCCATTAGAGCTAGCGTTTGATTTTACTTTTTATATTAGATTTTGTTTCTGAAACAAAATCACCCATGAATAACTTGGTCTCTCTTTTCTAATATTATATTTTGATTTTCATATTTTTGAAATGTTAGGTTTGTTCTCTAGCGTTTTCTATTTTATTTTGCTTCTATATTTTAATTCTTAGTTTTATTGTATTTTAAACTTCTACAACAAGAATGTAGCTATTCATGAATGAAAAAGAGAAGTGTAATAATAATAATAATTCTTTTAATTAAGAGACTAAATAAATGAAATACTACGTTTATAATTAAACCTCTATTTTGTTATAATATAAATAAGTCTAGAAAAGTTAATATAGTATGGGTTGCTCATGCTCATTTTCTGCCACTCATATCCTACACGTTTTCTTTAAGCATTAATCTAAAAGGAGGGTGATTTGAATTTTAAGTCCTCCCTATGAAAGCCAAATTATCATGATTGTCATCATTTTCTCTCTATAAATGATTACTTAAAATAAAAATTAAATGAAGTATAGCAATGACAATTCAATAAGGAAAAATAAAAGTTGAAATATTTTTTTATCTATGCATTTTCAATTTTGATTTATTTTGGTCTATATATTTTCACAATGTCTATTTTGATTGATGTATTTCAAATGTTCATTTTTAGTATCTATACTATCAAAAAGTCATTGGTTCTTTCATTTTCATTGATATTTTATTTTTTTCCATTGACACTTAACTTTTTAAATTTTTTGAAATGTAATAATAAATTTGTATTCAAGAATTGCTCTGTGTAAAATTTATATTAAATTTTTGTAAATAGAAACTAAATTGATTACTCCTTTAAAGTATAAGGACAAAAAGAAATAAAAAAACGACCAAAATAACTATTTAAACATAAAATAAGACTATAAAGCTGACTTACAATGATAAAAGAACAAAAAGTTAAAATCAAAATTGTCGTTAAGCATTTTTAAAATGTTATAATTGACACTTTTATCTAATTAGTATCTAAAATCATAAAAAAAATCTAGCCTAAGTTTTAATACTAAAAAATAATATTCAAAAACAAGAATTTAGAGATGTTTTCAAACTTGATGAAGAATAAAACAAATAAATTATCAGTAAGCAAGCTGAATCTTTTTTTTAAAAAAAATACAAAATAATAATAATAATAATACTCAAATGGGGTTCATAATAACTGATTGTGAAAATTGAAGATACATTAATAATTTATCCACAATACAAGCAAAAACACTTTTGATTATTGAAGCAATTTTTTTCTTTACAATTATCCTATCCAATCCTCAAGAATTGGACAAATTTATGCAACAATATCCTTAAACAAAATGAGGTGCTATAAACAAAGATTGATATTTCACAGTAATTTGCATATACAGTTCTCCAAAAATGACATTAACAAGATAAACGTTACAAAGAAGGAAGAAGCCATAGATTGAAGAGGGAGGAAACCAGTGAAAGAAACCAAGAAAGGAACGCCATCGCTGCAGAAAGCCGATATCTACTGCAAAGCTTTGCTGAACAATACGAAATCCCGGCTCGGAGCAAGATATCCGCGACACTGGCTGTCGAGCATGCAGCGCCCAAGGAGAGAAAAGATAGAACCTATGACAGAGCAAAGTGTTGAGTTATTTTTCTTTCATTTTCTACCAGGAATAGAAAGAAAGAACAAAGATGTAATATTTCTGTTTCCTAAGAGAGTGTTTCCCGTACCCAATCTCCGGTGACGATGATCGACGTTACTCTTGTTTGAGGAGGTAAATGCCTAACAAAAACAGAATATCCATCTACTACTGCCAATGTCAGACTCCATGGAACCATCAAACCCATGACTGTCACCAGATAGCTGGGGGAATGAATCAACATGAGCAATGACAAAGTTTTCTTGAGATTTTGGATCTTCATATATTTTGCAGGTGTATGATCAGCAAAAAAGAACAGAAAATTAGCTCAATTTTGCTCATATATGCTCTCCTCCTATGATGTAAAGCTATTGAAAGAACAGAAATAATCACAGTTAACATCATTCTAACTCCAAACATATTATTCTTGATGTTCTCATCCTTATGTCAAAATAAGATGCAGCGAGAACGTTAGAATGCCACCGAAAACTATGGCTTAATGTTTCAGAGAACAAGATGGAAATGAGTGTCCTTATGGTTCTTTCAGAGGCTGTATGTTGTTCCAATGGTGCCCTTACATTTTGGGTAGAACTTTTCTCCTTAAAGTTGGAAAATATAACCTAAGAACTGATAACAAGAATACTACACAATGTCAATAATCTCCATATTAAACAACTTTTTGCTTGATCAGAGGAATTTGATCCATTGCAGTCATGGATTACTGATGGCATATCATTTGTTTTTTTTTTTTTTTTAAATCATCATATTACCTGTTTTGAAACTAGAATCCAGTTCAAAGTTCATTATCAAAAATTACACTTCCTCTGGAACATACCCATTGTTGGACTTCCATTCTGTAAATTCTAAGTTTGAAAAGATTCCAGTAATATAATGGCACAACCCAGATCGGCTAATTTTCGTTTAAACACTTTAACCCCTATAAAAAATAACAATGGAAAAGAATGCTCCAGAACTTCTAAGTCTTGACTCTTAGTAAAAACTGCCTTCAACTTCAAGTTAATGAACACTAGATGAATGAACACTAGATGAATGAACCTCATCTTTGAACAAAATACAACCTCTAACTTCCTTAACTGGAGAGAAATTACAACTTGTTGGAGAAACACAGGATAGTCCATTACCCATCAATCCATTCACATGACATTGAATTCCTATGGGCAATAGTTAAACATTTATGGAAATCTACTAAATGTATCCATTGAAACTGAAGTTAGGTTATGAAACAATCACAAATTGCATCTAACAAAACATGCAGCAATCAAAAGATTAGGCCGGCATAAGGATTGTCTTACCCCAGTTTATGATCAGAAAACCAGAGCAAAGGAAAAATTACCCTACAGGAAAGATTACGAATTGAAGAAACAGGGCTTAAACGAAAATTTGATTACCAGAAAGCCGTGTAGCTATAGAACTCGATTTCCAGACACATGAAGAAGAGGGAAGCTGTGGCGAAGACCGTCTGACCTAGACGGAGGGCCAAGCTTGCGCTTGTGCCCAATGCCCCCGGCAGCTCTTCCATTTTCCTCCGCAACTTTTCTATGCCGCACCCACTCGCCTTGATCGTAAATTCATCGCTCTACGATCGGAAAACAAATTGGGGGGACTCGAAAATCTCCACTGAAATTGGCTCTGAAGACCCAGAAACCGAGAAAATGGAATTGGGTTTGTTGGGGCTGTTTGTTTGGATGGAAAGAAAATGGATTCTCAGAAAATGAAAATGAAAATGGCGATCTTGTTCAACCAGACTGGCTGGGGCTGGCTTGGCGGGGCGGGCTTCGATTTTTCTCTGTGAAATTCAGATGACTTCGGACGAGCATTTGCAATTTGTCTCTTAATTTTTAATTATAGATTAACTGTATGAATGTTGGAATATTGTGCTCATTGAAGACAAGTTTGTTGAAATGTCTTTATTTATTTATTTGGTGGAGGGGAAGAAAGAAAAACCCCGTCAAATCAAATGTGTGCAGTCTAAATCTAGAAATTAAATCAAAGCAATTTTATTCCTCTTGTTATTTCCAAGGACACTTTTTTAAGTTATAATCAAATTTTACAAAACGTTTGATTTCAATTTAAGATAAAAATCAGTTTCTAAACTTAAAATTAAAAATTTCAGTTATGTATCCGGCCTTCATAAATACATCTGGCATATTTTTTAAGTGTATTAAATCGAAATTAATTTAATGAGGGAATTTATAATCAGTAGCTGGCGCTAGAGAGACACAATGAAAGAAGATCTCCATAACTTTGAGGCTTGTGGTTATCCACCAGACAGTAAGGATTCGCAATCTTCTCCACTAAAAATTCAAAGGTTCCATTTTTTGTGGTTGTGAATATGATACGTTGGAGAGAGAGAGAGATATATATTTTGTCATTGCCCAAATCACAAATGAAATATGTGGCTTTCTTTATATTCATCTAAAAGCACTGTATTAGGTTGTGATTTGGCAAGAGAAAGGGATAGAGAAATATTTTGACAAGGATAACGATTACATTTTTTGTTTTTTGTTTTTTGTTTTAAAAAATTGTGACTGTTTTCTCACAAGTTTTTGATATGTTTTTAGCTTTTCTTACTAACACGTTTGAATTCTTGACAAAATTTTAAAAATAAAACAAGTTTTTGAAAATTACATCTATTACAACCTAAGGAAGCTAGAGTTAATTGAGAGAAAATGAGTTCAAATCCCATGATTACAATCTAAATTATGCCAAATCTTATAGGATCAAGTGGTTGTCCATGAGATTAGTCCTGCTGCATGCAAAAACGCTCACGAAAATCAAGATTAATAACTGTTCAAAACTCCAATCTTCCCACTATCTTTATCCGAGAGACAGAGAAGAAAAGAAACAGTCATCTCTTCATGGCCATAAAATGCTTATAAATTTGTTAATTGGATTTCTAAAGAACAAGACTTTGACTGTTGGCTGCTGTCTTATCAAGCCTTGCGATTGGCCAGATTTGTTCTTCATTTGCAAATTCTTGAAGTTTCCATGTGAGTTGGTAACAAAAGCAAATTATGTTTAAGAAGAGAGTGAAGAAGGCACAGGCAGAAAATTATATGCAAACTGGATAAAATAGCATCCCCCTTTCTAGTGTCTCTCCACAAGAAAGTTTAGCAACTTTCTTTTAACTTACAACGATGTATAAACAAACAAACAATCATAAAGAAGAAAGGGGCCTAGGAGTCGAGCTGAGCATACCAGATTCCTTGGATCTTCACATCCTTTGGAGCTTTGGCTCCCAAATCAGTATCAGAGGGCTGAACGCTCTCAAACACACCAATTACTTCCCCAGTCTCAGGCTTGCTCTTGGTCACACTTAGAGTGATTTTCCCTGTTGAAGATGAAGCATTCTTGATGTTTTCCTTGGAAAGTTCTTCTTCATCACCTCTCCCTCCGGCCGGCAATGCAACAGCATTGTCATACCCAGTTGAGCCTCCCCTGCCCTTTGGGTCCAAGAAAGATGAGCCACGGTAAGATGGGACCAAGAAGTCTCCTCCAAAGCTCTCTGGTTTTCCAGAGGCCACCAGCTGTTTGATGGTGAAAAGGAAAGGGACACGCTCGCCTCCAGGCAGCTGAACAGTGACAGCAGCATAGTCAATGCCATCTTTCTCCTCGAACTTGATGGAACCATCGGCACCCACTTCAAAGGGTCCTTCAATCTCGTCCAGGGTGTAAGTTAGACGAGTCATGAGCTTGGTGTTTTGGAATTCTGGTGGGGAGTTCTTGTTCACTCCCTCGGCCTTGACGGTGAAAGAAGTGGGCTCAAGGCACAGCTTCTTGGCTTCGTATTTGCCAGGCTTGAAGGCAAATGAGTCAACTCCTCCTTCAATTGTTGGGCACTGGTTTGCAGTTCCAGATCCCTTAACTTCAAGGTATGTCTTGCTCTGGATTTCATCAAAGGTGAGTCTCTTTGGTACTCCTTCAGCACCTGCTCCCTGAAATACAGGAAAAGGCATCAAGTAGTTCAGATGATTACCAAGTGGTGGAATCACACTTGCATCTATAAAGTGTCTGTCAAGGTTATTCTTAATCAGCATTACGTTCTAAATACTCCCCAATGATTTATCCTTTCCTCACTAGTACATTCAAACACGACACCAAAAAGAGTAAAAATATAAAGACACTCATTAGAAACTTTTTAAAGTTTTGAAAATGGATTAACACAGGCATGAAAGTATAAAAACTTACCGAAAACTTTTTAAATTATACGGGCTAAATAGACGCAACTACTTTAGATACCAAACTTATAATTTAACTTTCAGATTATCTTCATATCTCCTATTTCACCTTCTCTATTTTTTTTCCCTCCGTCTCTCTCATATGTTACTTCATGTTGCTCCATCAAACTTTAGTTGTAAGACCACTGTAAATTGGGATCTATAGTAAGTGACAAAATGGGCATTATACAGACACAAATGGCTTGGATCAAGAATTTTCGTCCTTTCTTTGGTAAGAAGTTAGCCCTAAGTAACCTAATTCGGAGATGAAATTGCGTTTAAGTTTCTCTTAATTTCCTCAAGCAGTGTTGATATTGTGCAAGACAGAATTGAACTCCCAATTTACAAAAAGCGAAAGAAATCTATCAATATAAGCGACTCAATTTCTGCAAGCAAATTGATGTACACTGGAACAAAACGATCCTAAAATTTCGAGCATCGTAAATTTCACAACTACAACCGAATTAAAAGTATCGACTATCATAACAGACAAGAGCGTAATTAAACAAAAGCTATCGTAAGAGCAAAGAAAGGGCATACCGAAACGACGAGAGCAGACGTGGCAAGAGCGAAGCCGGCGATCTTGGCGGCGTCGGCGCACTTCCGAGCGACGTCCTTGAGATCGGAGTGCAGAGAGCAGGTGAGTCTGGCTCCGGTAGCTTCAATGCCAAAGGCTTTAGAAACGGTCTGAGAAGATCTGAGTTGCGAGGTGCCGGTCCTTGCAGAGACGGCCAACTTGGTGGGCTGCAGAAGCGTAGCCGCCGCGTGAACTGAGGCCGCCATTGATTTGCAGACCCTTCTCCTTCACTCTCTGTATTCTCAGTCTAGAAATGAAATGAAATCTCCTCCTCCGGCTTCTGATACTGAAGAAACTATAACGCCCAGTAGGGACCCATCGGAGCTGAATTCTGTGGCTTTCGTTGAACAACGGGGATAATGTATTGGATAAGAGGAATCTCTATTTCTTGATCGCATGTCAAATCATTGGTTCAGTTCTTTCCACGTGGCATTACCTCATTGGCTACTAGGATATACCCCAGAGCCTTTTGATCCTATTTTAGATTTTATATTTCTTCAATTTTTTAATTCATAAACATTGGGATTTTTCATTTAATCTTCCAAGTCCTAACTATTTGAATCGATACTATTATTCAACAATGAATTTGAGAGTCAAGAGAGACAAGCCAACATTATAATAGTTGACATCTATTTTGGAGATTTAAATCCTTTTATATTCTCGATTTGTTGCTAAATAAAATAGAAAATGAAAGAGAAACAAAATGTGATTTTTAATATTGCTCGATTTTATAAGCCATATCGGAGAAATAAGAATAATGGTAATCAAATAAGGTTGATACAACGATTAAATAGACTTAAAGTTTACAAGAATTCTCTTGACTTGGGTTAAATAGAGTTTAGGGATATTTTTTGATCCAATAAAAATTATTGAGGTTATGAATTTGTTCAATCTAAATGATTCGTGGCCGGTCAAATGGTCAATATTTTTAATTTATTTATTTTCAAACGTTGAATTAGAATTAGTATTGAAGATTGCTTAAAAGAATTGTGCTTCCAAGATCGGTTGGAGAATAAACAATATAAAAAGAGTTTTAAAATAATTTAAATTAAATTAGAAAGTATTACAAAAATAGACAAAAAGTGTAATTTGTTCCTTGGTTATGATTATTTGATAGATACAATTAAATCTATAAAGTTAAATAAGTTTTTCAAATGGAACATACAACATGTTGGGAAGGGGTATATGCCAATTATCGATGAACTATACTCGCTTTAACTAATTCAACGGGTTAAAACGTATATTTTCAATTAAAAAAATTAACATAAAAAAATTAAGATAAATTTGAGATGATTTTTTCAAAAGGACTTTTTTAATAAAATATTTATTTTGTAAACACTCTTGAAAAATTCGAATAAAATGCTTAGTCTAAAAAGCATTTAAATCTTTTTTTTAATGGGTTCTATGATCCCTTGAACTTTTTTTTATTCTAAAAAAATTGCAAAAAGTGTATTTAAGTTTTGACAAACATTTTAAAATTTTAATCTAAGCCCTACATTTTTTTAGCTATTTTGTTACGTGTTCTTTCAAAACTTCTATTTATTTATTTTGATGTCTATATTTTAAAAAAGGTGACTATTTTAATCATTCATTTTCATTTTCATTTTATTTAAAATTTTAGCATGACACTTCCCTTGATGGATCGTTAAGTATGATTAGTAGACGAGTTATAACAACTAAGTATGATTAGCTATTATTAGTTGGAGTTTTAGTTGTTATGCAAGGGTTATATGGTATTCTTTTCACTACAAACTCTTCTAGTATGACACTATTTTTTGTAATGTATCCATAAAATTGATATTAAAGGATTACCATTGTGTATAAAACTTGTTTTAAAATTTTGTCAATAACGATCAAAATTTTCAACTTTTAAAATGCATGGACTAAAATGAACGTTTTGAAAGTAAATGAACAAAAGTTGAAATGACATGTGATAACAAATGAACATTTTAAAAGTATAGGAACCAAAATAAACTAAAACAATTACTGCTAGACCAGAATAGTAATTAAACCATTTTTACCGTCACTAATAGTCCTTTCCTTTACAACTGGCATGTCAAACACACTTCTTCATTTATAGTCCTTGATTAATTTCCTGCAGCTTTCTTCTATAACTATTTCTAGAACAGTTTGTTCCCTTTATAAGAACTAAGAACACCTCCAAATTATCCAAAAGTGTTAAAACACACCCTCCTAGAATTGTATCAGACTCTTGTTCGACCAATGTAATATCTGGAAACAGAAGCAAACAGAAAGAAAGACAGAAAAAGAGAAGTATATATTAGCTATATTACAGTACAGCTAGTGAAAAAAGTGCAGCAAAGTCAAGTTGTCATGTAGATATATCTATAAAGTGGGGAAAAGGAAAAGAAAGAAGTTAGAAAATTTTTGGTTTGTACTTTGTAGAGGTGGAACTAGAAGAAGTGAGCAAGCATGGCCCAAACAGGGAAAACAAAGAGGAGGATGATGCCAATGGTGTTGGAAATTCCATGGCTCTGAGTGAGGGAGTTTCTGAAGCCACCAGAGGCACGAATGTGCTCTTGTAGAAGGTAGCATCCAATTACCAAACATATAACCACTCCCGCCCAGTGGTCTTTCAATGTGTGGGCAAAGAACCCTGGTGCTGCCACCACAAGCAGAATCAACGACCCTGGAATCTCCAGCCAATCTGCAGTGCACACACCAACACCAACATACTCATCTTCTTCATTTTGCTAAGCTTCCACTCCGTTTCAAATATAAATCAACTTTTAGTTTTATGTTTTGTTATGTTTTGGTATGTTTTTTTTTTTTTTCACTTATCTTGATTTCTTAGCCGTTGTTGTGGAAGTTGTGTTTATAAACTAAATTTTTAAAAATTTTAATTTAAGTTGTACTACTTTAACTGTCATGAGGATTTTATTATGAGTTATTGGAAAATGTGGTGTAACAATGTTCATCTTTTAATCTGTATATTGTTCCTAAGTTATTGCTAGCAGTGGTGACAAATGGAGAGAGTTGAGGAAATTTGAAGAGGAGCCATTATTGGGATTTAGTCCATGGGTTGGAGAGAGATGGCACTTTCTAAAGTCTATGTCAGTGTGGGTTGTTTCTTTATATATCGTAATACAGTTTCTGTTTGTTTTCTGAGGATTGGGATCTTAACATTTGAATGATTAAGTTAAAGGCGTAGAAATAAGGAGAGAATAAAAGTTAAGGGGCAAGCATCGAAAATTCTTAAAATGGAAAACGGGTAAAAGTTTATTGAAAGAAAAGTTGCATTAAAACCTGAAGATTTTCTTGCATTAGCATGGAGCAGAGCCACATTCTCTGTCAAGCAGTTCTTATTATTTCAAGTTTAAATAATTGGATTGTATTTGTCATGATCATTACCAATTCACTTCAACAAATACAGATTTGAAGTTAATAGAATACTGATGACAAATATGGCTCTTTGTAGTTCATGATTCGAATGCTTCATAAAAGAACAAGAATCCAAACGAAGGAACCATGCTGCTTACCTGGGAAATGTCGTGGGAAGAAGAGCCTCAATACCACTGCAACGAAGGCAATCCATTTCCCAGCATCCTCTCTTAACAAAGTCAAGAAGAAAACGAAATCGTTGTCAAACGAAAGCCATCAGCCAAAGCAAAAGAAAACAAAAAGCAAGGAAATGAGAGTAACTATCACCTCAACAAGTCGAAAATCCCTTGAGGAAGGCTGAAGAAAATGTAAGGGACTAGAAGTGAAGTAAGCATATTCGTTCTCCAGTTTGTGCGATCCAAAATCAACAAGTAACTGCATATTATTATTGATGTCAAAAACATGAATTTTAGAAGCTCACAACTATGAACCAAAACAGATGAAAGCACTCACATGGCAGCAAAGGAAGCAAGCCATTTGAAAAAAGAAGTGCCAAGGCCCTTTCCACCGAGCTTGGTGGCATGTTCAAGAAGCCTCGTGGCTGCAATTTTAAGCTCGTTGATATCAGAATTTATCGACTCCTCCATTAGGGGATCACTATTCAGAGCCAGATATGGCATCCTCCCCATTTTGTCCAAGAAAACGTCACAGGGAAACGAAAAAGGCGAAAGTTTTGAGATGGGCAGTGCAGAAGAGGAGTATTGGGAGTGGCAGAGTCTGTGGGACATTACAAACACCTCGGATGCATATTTATAGTTTCAAAGGAACTGGGCAGTAGGAAAATGTAACGGGGTCAAGCTCCTTGTTTTCAGCTGAGTTAGAGAATGCAAAAGTTTCGGATCAGGTTGGTTTTCGGCTTTGAATGAGAGGCCCCACCAAGTATCGCAGCAAAATTCGGCTTTGGTCTCGTCTAATTCATATCCTCTGTTTCTTTTTTTCTTTTCTTTTCTTTTTGTCTTTTTTAAGCTTATAACAAGTTAAAAAATTGAAATATTTTAATCGATTGAATTATGTTTGTATAACTTTAGTTCAGTTTTTAATACAATAACAATAGATAAAAGTATTATTTTGACCTAGATTTAAGAGAGATTTTAATTTGATTTGCGTAGTTTCAAAAGTATAGTTATTGTTAGTTAAATCTTCTAAGATATCATTTTCATTATTGAATATTAACAGTTGTTGCTTATACGAAGCCATTCTTCTTGACATGTGACAGAAAAAAAAAGTGATGATTTGACATATAATACGAGTCATATGTGAAATAAAAAGGTTAAATTGGTGGACTCTATTAACCTTGTTGTATTGAGGTTTTGAGTTGGATTGAAAAAAATAAAGAAAGTCAAATAAATTTTTTTTATGGGATATTTTTAGTACAACAAATATGAGAGATAGATATGCTTAGGAGGAAACAACCCGTATTGGAAATGTAAATTTTGAGAATATATATATATATATAACTCGTATTGCAGTATATAGTTACTATGTTTATGTACAATTTGTTCGATATTTACTCGAACTTTATATGATTTTAGTTTTTTTACCCAATTCAAACCTTAAAACAATCCACTTATAATATCACCTCATCATTGTTCTTCGACGTGTTTTAAAGAAAAGGGGTGTAAAATAAGAATAGCATTAATATGCTCGCTTTGTCAAAATTATATGGATAGTTAAACTTAAAAGCAATAAAATAGGAAAGTAATTGTAAACACAATAATGAAAATATAAGTGGATTGATAAATGATATTTACTAATTACTTCCATCACTATCTATATTTTATCAATTATTTAATTTAAAAGAATAGTACTATATTTAGGATCACGCACTAAATTTATGATTATTTTATAATTTATAAAATGAAGTTAAGTATCGAATAAAATTGATGTACAAATAATATAGAAACGAAAAGGCAAAAGAAAAAAGCATAATCATGATGAAGAGGGAGGAAGAAGAAACGAGAATTGTAGAAAGTAGATAGGCTTTGTTTGACTGAAAATGTTTAATCATCATCAACGAAAAAACATCTTTTTCGGCAGAGGAATGAATGAATCCAAACAGCTCGCAATTATTAGAGCCTCTCATTCTTTGTTGCTTTTACACCCAAATATAATAATAATAATAATAATAATAATAAAGTTTTCAAAAGTCGCGCCGGCTTAAAAAGTAGAAATAATGGTGTGTTAAATTGTGAACGGCAGTAGTAGGGATTTTACAGTGTTTGGTTACTAAAAAAATGAGAGAATTTGAAGAAATAGAGAAAAACAGATAAGAGTTAGATCAAATTTTACCCATCAAAGTTAAATAATAATCACAAGAAAAAACATTTACTTATGAACTTAACATATTTCATAAGTTTTACTTTTTGAACTTTTTATTTTTCAAATGCAGTTACCAATATGATAATAATATAGCCATTCAATAACTTTTCATAGATTATACGTATCATAAACTCATACAATTCACTCTAACCATTCTTATGGGTTACAAATTTCACACACAGTAAAAGATTTATATTCATCTCTTTTATATGTTTTTTATGTTATTATGATTCTTAGTTTTAAACACTACCAAAATTAAAATATTTTATTGGAAAGATATAAATTTGGTTTGATAAAGTTAATTTTTATCTTAAATATTAAAATTTTAAAACTAAATTCTAGACTATGGTAATTTTTACCCTCGGTTAGGATTTAGTTTGAAGAATGTTATTTAAAATGAGGACACAAATTATTGCAATTTGCAATTATGACCCCATTTACAGATACAAGGAGAGGCACACGTGTCATGTGATGATATTAATATACAGCCCCAATCGCTCAAAAGCCGTGCGGCATTCAAAACGGTGCGTTGAAGCGACCAATTTGATTTCCCCTCTCAAAATTTGTAAAATTACAACTTCCAATTGAAAGAAAAAATAAGAAAAGAAAAAAAAAAGGTAAGCTTGCGTGGCATCCATTACAGATTTCCGTACAATTAATATTAAGGAGAAGGATCAGGTGTGGTCGGGTCTACTGCTGATGATGGTGGTGTCTTCCTCTCCGGCCGTCCACAACCGCTGATTCGTGTGAATCGCACACCTGAGTTTTGAACTTACACCCAAACCGTCTGATCAACGACCGTCGCCAGCGGCCTCCGCCATCTTGTGGGCCCGCCTTATCGATATTCTCGATGACTTTTTTCATGGTGGAGCACTCCCTCTCCAGCTGATGAACCCGCGTCCTCATGCTATCCATGTCCAGGCGAAGCATCTGATTCTCCCTCACCGTCTCTCTCCACGTGCTGCTCTCGTGCGCTATTGGGGCCGGAACTTCCGCCTCCTCCTCCTCCTCCTCTTCCTCCACCTCTTCCGCTTCGCGCCGGGATACGGCTGAGAATCTTCCGGTTTCCGCCGGTAATGTCTCGGCGGCCATGAGCGTGCCGGCGATGGCGTGACGGAGCTGAAGCTGTTCGAAGAAAAGGACCTGCACTACTGCTCGGAGTGGGAGGCGATCGTTCTGTGCGGCGTGGGTGCATGCCTCTAATGTCAGCTTTTGGCAGTCCATTACTCCGCAGATCTTCTCGCGTTCTGCTTCGGAGATCCATGGATGTGCCTGTCAAAAAGATTTACCGAATCAATTAACCAATGCCGACAGAGAATTAGATTAGAGATCAATTGATGAGTTAGGAGATTGATTTTCGCGAATGCGAACCTTGAGGTACACATCGACGGCCCGGTAAACGCCGTCGTCGAAGAGCCTAGCTTGTTCGGGGAGAGAAATTGCTAGGTTATAGAATTTATCCGGCTTCAGATTCGCGTCGGAGGCGATCTCGGCGAGATAGCCATCTATCAATTTGCCGACGGCCATTAACGCTGGCGATCTGAGACCGTCCTCAGCTTGATCAAGTTCAGTTACGGCTGCATTTCTCTCGTCGAGTCCATCCAAGAAGTAGGATAAGATCCTCTCGGCACAATCAACATCATACAGAGTCTCATTCAGATACGAATAGCTTGGAATCAGAAGATCATCCAGTGTTGCTTGTTCGAGTTGCGATCCTATTTTCTTCTCTAGAGCAGCTTTACAAGATTCCGAAGCATTCAAAATATTGGCTGTCCTCAGCAATCCGAAAAGGAACCTTGTTGCGGTTGAATTTCTGGAGCTCTTCTCCAGTGGAAGATTACTGATTACGGTCTCTAACAACTCCTTCTGTTCAGTCTCCGTAGGCATACAAGACGAAGAGGAGGAAGGCAACGACGGCTTCCGGTTCGACCTGGATATACCGGGAATATATTTCTTGGCGTAGTTCATTAAACAGCTCTCAATAACTTCGGAGCTTACATCTTGATCTCTCATGGAGAAAATCAACCGCTTAAACAGAGGCAGACTCAGCTGGGCGAGATCCTCGAACCAGGAGACCGCATTGGTTCCCCTACCGCCGGTCTTTTTTCTTCCTCCGGTTTCGATTCCATTCCACAGCATCTGTTTCGAATATTCTTGAGCGCCGTTGGCTCCGTCATTGACTGGCCATCCAAACAAAGCTGGATCAGCGGAAGGCGCTTTTGAAGCAATCGAAGCGATACATCTCTGCGTAATCCCCAAGTCCTCGGCTAGAGGCATCACAGGCTCACAAGATTTCAGCGTTTTAATCGACTCTCTGATGCTTTTAGGCACGGTCTGGGAAAGGAATCTCTCAGTTTTTGAGATGAGGTTTTCTTCGCTGTACTCCTCCGTCATTTCCAGAAACTCTCCGGCGCAGCGGAGAGGAGCAACATTGGAAGAGTTGAGGTCAATCTTCACACCGTAGCAGAACTTCGATGCCATCTCGAAGATCTCACAGCCGCCGGGGAAATCAGAGAGCACTATGTGGCAGTGCTCTTCCTCAACTTCATCTTCCTCCTGCTGCTGTGTTTCGGCTGTTTCATCTTGAATCTCTCTGGTAGAAGTAGGGCAGTTTGCTTCTTGCTCTGTTATCAAATTGTGCAGCTTTCGGCTCTTTGACATTAGAGGAAACTGAAAAATCACAAATCCATAAGGCCATAACCCTAGGGAACAGTCTGAAACAACCAAATCGACGAGGAAAGAAACGGAAAACTACTAATCAAGCAAATTTCGCAAGGAGATTTAGGAGGTGACCTTGTGGAGATGGAAAGCCATATCGTCCACTTCGATGACAATGTCGCTTGGTAATCCAGTGGTGCAGAACCTGAAAAAGAAAACCCAAAAAAATCTTTCCATTCAGCACAATTGACATGGAGATTTAGCCAAGATGGGGAGGACATAAGAACTCACCAAGCCTGCCTTTTGGAGCTTGGCTTCTCTGCAGATGCTTGCGTTTCTGCTGCCATTTTCTCTACACTGCCTCCGAGAATCAGTCTCTGAAACTAGAAAACGAGATCCATTTCTTGCACAAACTGGAGAAGTTCGGAGGCACAGAAATCAGTGGGAGTTTTAGGGGATGGAAACAAACAAAGGGAAAGAAGTGAGATCTTTTAGCAGTATTTTGTTGGGTGAAATGGACTTCACTTCCGAAGAACAGATAAAAAGAATGCAACCAGTGATGGGAAGAAAATTGTTTGCTTGCGCTTTAGCTCGTTGCGATTTCCTTTCTTCAGAAGAATAAGTCTGACAAGTAGCATCAAAAGGCGAATGCCAAATGGGAATTTAAAGGGAGATTAAAAAAGAAAACCCCCCTCAGATCGGACAAATGGGGTTTCAACAAAATTTCTTTTTCTTCCTCTTGGTCTACCACTCAGGTCAGAATCTCACCCACTCCAATTAATTGATTTAATTCATTTCTTTCTTAATCGTCAAAGGAAGGAAACAGAGGCTGTAAATTGGACAGTTTTTTCTTCTTTCTAATTCTAACAAAGAGTTAATTGCTTTGCAATAGAGGTCAATTTCTAGAGGGTCGGTTACCTTTTATTTTTTATTTTTAAATTAATGGCAGCTTTAGTTTTTCTTTCTTTTTCTTTTAGACAATAGCTTTAGTAAGTTAGCGGTTACGTATTACCCGCAAATTCATAAGATTATAAATTGTATTTTTGAGGAGCACACTTCTTTTTAGTCTTTTTAGTACTAGTTCCTTTTATCATCCACACTTATTCTTCAAAACTGGCGCCACCATATAATTCATATCCCTTTCATTCTCTTAATACAAAATTTTCATCAACTTTTATAGTGATTAAACCGAATAAAATCTTATTGGAAAGTTTCTCACCCAAAGTTACATTGCAATTAAATAGAATCCATTTTTGAATGTTAGAAGATGGATTCATTTGGAAGAAAAGATTAAACTGAATCTCGAGGTTCGTGCTAATTGCATTGCATTATCTCTCTGATCTATGTTTTAAAAATGAATTTTTAGTGTTGTGGGACATGAAAACTTGTTGATTGAGACATATTAATTTTCCTCTAAATCGCCAACTTTTATGAAAATGTTAAAAATTTCTGATGTATATCTATCTTTACATTCTTGATTATCTTTGGTCTGACTGTGTGATTTCATCCAAACGGATTCATTTCTCTTCACTCCTACATTCCAAATCAAAATTCTCTACTAAAAAGCAGACTGGTACAGGAGGACGCTGCAGAAACAGGGTGGCTGAAACTCAGAAGGGGATGAGAAGCCTGAGAGAAAAGATCAATGAAAGAGGTAAAATCAGCGATCTTTGTATGAAAATACGAATCTGAAGAGAAAAATAATCGGTAATAGCCCATTTTGTAACCATTATTCTTTGGGGAGGCCCCATCACATTAATTACTTCCTTTTAATTCATAAGAAACAACTACGTATGCCAACTTGGGGTTTAGTGCTTTTTAGGTAGGTGATTGAATATTTTAATGTATATTTTTCCTGATTTTAATATGGCGTGGTAGCCATGGGATCACCTCTCTTGCACCTATAATTGTTTCATGCAGCTGCATCAGGCCCCAAAAATCTGTGTAGAGAGAGAATTCAAGGTTGCCCACCGACTGTGGCCACTTCAAGTTCAAAAAGTGAAGCTCATACATACTCTACTCTTGGTAACTGGTAAGCTCTCTCTAGTCTCTCTCTACCTTTTATAAGATGCAAGGAGTTTTCCTTTTCAATGTGAATTCTTACGAGACACAGGAGAATTACTGGGCCTTTACTATTAGGGTTGCTTGGCTTATGTGGATTTTAGAATATTGGTTCAAGAAAATCGATAGATTTGCTTTTACATTTTAGAGGGTATAAATTCTTCTAGTTTCGGTCATTTTTTGTTACTTAAAAAAAAAAAATCTATTTTAGTTTTTATGTTTTCAACTTTTCTCCATTTTTAGTCCAAGGACTTTTAAAAAGTTTATTTTTGACCATATACTTTTAAAAAGTGACTATCCTGGTCAATTAATTTTTATTTTTATTTTATTTATTTCCATCAAAATTTTAACATAACACTTCATTCATTATAATCATTATAATTATTAAAATGTAGTGATAGATTTGTATTAAATGATTTCTATTGTGTATAAAATTTTATAAATGGAGACCAAAACATTTTTATAAGTGTAGGGATTCGAGGAATATTTTAAAAGTATATGGACTAAAACAAACAAAAGTTGAAAGTAAATAGATTAAAATGAACCTTAAAATTAAATAGAAATAGTATTTAAACCATTTTAGAATGAGGATTTACCTTAAAATAATATTTTTGATGATTTTGAGTAAATGGATCTTCTTTGGTTAAATAGGCAGATTTACCCAAAATGTCTTGTGTTCATTAGACATATTTCATTTCTCCCTATAAATTTAAAAAACTCGATTAGTTTTTATGTCAAATAGGAAAAAAAATAAAAAATTGCTTTTTGCATTGTTTTAAAAAAGTATATATATATATATATATATATATATATATATAAAAAGGTTAAAAATTTTTGGGACCGCCCCTATGAGTTATGAATGGCCACAACGTGAGTGTGACCTCAGCAGGAGGGAACTCATTAATGGTAGGCTCCCCAAATGAGACTATAGGGAATTCATATTTCACACCATATCACCAATATATGGGAAGTGGGGTCACATGAAATATGTGAACCCAAAAAAACAGTTCAAATTTTGGATTTGAATTTTTGTCTCCCCCAACTTTTTCCACTCTTTTTTTTTTTATTTATTTGTCTTTCATAATAAGATCTAATTATTCTCTCTAGGATATAAAGCTATCAAGTTTGAGATAGTAAGTACTATAAATTGACAGGTAGTCAAAATGAACAGGCTGTAAACTCATTGATTTAGAGGCCATGAGCTTAGAACTCTATTGATTAGTTAGAGGCCACCATTTTTTCTAACCCAAAATATCATAGGCCATAAGGTCAATTTTATGAGATTTGTTGGAGTTATGTTTAAGCTAATCCAAACACTTGGAACATTGGGGGAAAAAAAAGAGGGTAGTTTCAAACGTTTTTTAAACGATAATTTCACTAGGATTCTTTTGTCGAGACTAAAACAGTTGTTATTTAAAAGTTCATGGACTGAGAAAGACATTATGAAAATTCAAGGATCAAAATGATCATTATACATATATAAAATTTCATGGACTAAGAAAGACATTATGAAAGTTCAGGATCAAAATGATTATTATTATATATATATATATATAATTTTTTTTATTATTATTTTTTGTCAACGTGAGCTTAACTCAATGATAATTGACATCTGTCTCTTGACTTTAAATACAAAAACTAAAATAGACATTTTAAAAGTTTAGAGGATATAAAAAAAATTTTGAAAATAGGATTTAAACTATTTTCCAAAAAAAAAAGAGAAAAGATTTAAACCTTTTAACTATTATTAAATTTGATTTATAAAGGTCAAATATAGCACAAAAATTGGACCCTTTGATATGTTATTACCATTGAACCTTAGTGAGATGACAAGAAAGGCATGGGCCATTAATTACTCTGTTGATTAAGCAAAGGTATTAATCATAAATAGTAGAAATCATACGAAATATATAATTATACAATGATTTCAACTTTATTATGATTCAGAAGGAGATTATTTGGTAGACAGACAAACCCCACTTCCTTCAAAAGGAGAATCTTCTCATTAATTATTTTCCCTTTTTTTGGGGGGAAAAATCTTGATTGAATTAAAAAATGCAAAAAAGAGATTGCAGATTGATTAAGAGAATCTAGTAATTATTAAAATCACATGGTTTGAATTTGAAAAACAATTGGTCTCTAAGAAGGGAAGGAAGACAATGTAATGCCAAAAATTTTCTCGCAAGACAAAATAAATTTTTCCCTTCAATCCAACAATTATTTCTCAGAGATGAAATAATTAATATCATCAAACTATAAATGTTTTTCTTTAGTTAGTTAACATAATTATATCGTACTACGTATCTGACAAGAATTTTTCTTTTTTGAAAGTTTTTTTACAAGAATTAAAGATATTATTAAAAGTTCACGTGGATATTAATATATGTTCAAATAAAAAAATGTAAGCATGTGATTTGGTAAAAWTTGTAATTATCTAACATTTTTATATATCCATGTTTGTTACAAGAGTTTTCATTATCCTATATAGATTTTTTTTTTCTTGGAATGATTTTGGAGGTCTTTTTTCACTTTTTTTTTCTTTCATGATTAAATCTTACATAGTACTATTAATTAAAATGATTTAAAATAATTGTAAACCTAGAAACCACTTAACTTAGTACCCAAAATGTTTGTAATTTAAAATTTTGAAGTGGGTAAAGGCATTTCAAATTAAGACATGGAAAAGCATCCAAAAGGACACTAAACCCCAAAAAATGCAGTTACGTTATGTGGGCACAATGCACAAAAACTTAGGAAAAAGATTCTTTGATTAATTAATTTATTCATACACATTATTTCATGGCAAGAAAGCACGTAGGTCAACATATCTTCATCATTGTTACATATATAAAAACATATCTTAATCATACTTTAGTCATTTTCCTTCTAATAATGCAAGTTGGGAGAAGATTATTGTATCAATGAGTGCCCTTTTGCCCCTCTATGGGGCTTGGATATATACATGGATTGATTAATTAAAAGTTGACTCAATTGCATAATAGAGATTAAACCTTCAACTTTAGAATTTGCATAATATATAACTTCATCTACTTTGTGTGCTTAAATGGGTAAGACTATTTGGTTGTCTATTTAAATTTTAAACACACAAGAAGATGAAACCATTACACATTCTTAAACTAGAGAGGTCGCATAGGTACTATTTATTACATAATTTGGTCATCCAAACTTGCATAGGTACTATTTATTACATAATTTGGTCATCCAAACTTGATTGACTTGGACGAAGAGATGACTTAAGGACAAAATCAAGTCTAAAGATAAAGATATTAGCAAGACTTTAGATGAAGTTTCCAATACTGTTTCTCGTGTATAACCTTTTGATAAAAGATCTAGATAGGACAGAAAATATGAAAGATAGATCAAAAGAAAAATTGAAACAGCCATTTGGGGATAGTTGTTTCTATAATAATATAAGTTTAGTGCCAAAGTTGTGAGGCAAAAACTTTGCATTTACTAAAGTGTGCGTGTGGCGTAGATGGGGGCATATGGGGGACACAGCCAATTCACCTCATTTATAGATGCTTGCCGTTGGGCACACATCTAAATTAGGCTGTTTGCTGGTTTTCCACATGCTTCCAACAACCTCTCTCTGCACAGTCCTTGCCCTGCCTTTGCTTGCAATCCACGACAGAAACCACGTTATTGCATTCAAATGGGCTCTAAAGAATAGATGAAGGGCTTCACCATCATGTCACACTGATCTGGTTTGTGCCTTGAAACCCCCTCTGATCATTTTTGCACATTCTACAAGGCTGTAGTACTGAAGGCATTTTATCATACACTTTGTGGGCAGACTTCTCTTTTGATTTAGATCATGAACCATGTTGATATATGTTAGGAATGCAAACATAGTGTCTCATGTTGGACTCGATAAAGAGAAGATTATGAGTATATAAGTAAAAGACAACATCTGTGTTGATATGAGACGTGTTTGGGTGAAATTTGATAAGGCTCAATAATATTATTTACCAAACAAAGCATCAAAGCAAGAGAGATTTTGAGAGCTCCCAAACTCTCCACTCTCCCTCGAGGACTCACTGAGCCTTACAGATTTTACAATGCAAAAAGATACCCCTCCTCTCAACAAACTTCTATTTTAACACCTTCCCTCCTTAGGTCGGAGTCCTTATACCTAATTCCTTCTAACTAACAATATTCTTAGGGCTCAATCGCTCTCTACTTACTGCTTGTATGGCTCTATGTTATTTCACACCGTTGCGTTTATAATATTTAATGATTTGGGGTCTTTCAAAATCAAAAGCAAAGCTATAATAGCTTGTGCTAACGATATTATAATCATTAAGGAAATGCATATCAATCACCTTTGTTTTGGAACAGAGTTATTTTTGTGTATGGATCAATAATCACCTTCGTGCATCATGAGGCGTAGGCTTGACTAGCTCAAGACAGATTTAAAGTAGTATTCCTTAATCAATTGGGTTAGAGAAACCTCCTTAATGGTAGGCCTATGGCAATTGACAACAAACAAAAGTACACCAATAAATTAAGTTTCTCTCTGACCATATTCTCATGTGACCTTCAATAATTAAGGTACACTAAGGGAAGGTCCCCACCAATAACTATAATGGTAATGAACCTATTATCTATATGGTGCGGTTGGAACTTGGAAGGGAAGTCCTTGGTGTACCCTTTGATTCTTGAGGTACATGGAAGTTCATTGGACTCTTAAAAAGGCTTCCTTTGGTGTAACTTTCATGGCAAAAAATTACTAAGATGAAGTCTTTAAAAAGAGATGCCTTCCTCAGCATGTATTCGATCTTCGATCATTTTGTTGGAAAGAAATGATAGACAATAAAAAATGAGGCTTTGAAAATGTAAAAAAAACGTGGAGAATGTTCGGTGGAAACTTGAAGGGAAGTGTGCAGGAGTGGAGGGAATTGAATAACGTATTAGAGGAAAAACTCTTATTTTTGTTTTAGTTTTTTGTCGTGAATTTAAACATAGCTTAATTAGTTATGTTGAGGAGGAATCTGAATAGGACACGTGTCGGGTTCAGGGAGCGACAGTGAGACATGGGACCACAGATGGTTATTGTCGTATACTATGTCTGCATGCAGGTGCGTCACTACTACTGCTGTACGAGGGGTATGGATGAACCGCAACTTGAAACCTACAGGTTGCAGGTTTGTAGGCCTGCGAACGAAGGCACTATCCACGATCTATTTGGGGACATACACCCTCCGTCAGAGCTTTACCTCTTGGTTGGTCACCCGTACCTATAAAAAGGAAGGACTCTCCCCAATATCGAAGTAAGTGACTACTCCTATTTTCTATATCCTGGTTACTAGAAATCTAATGTCAAATATATTAGGCGAGACATCGTAGTTTTGGTTACAGGCTCATTTACTCATTGGTGTACACGCTCATCCGAGAGACACACGGAGCTTTTCAAAATCCGCCGTCCGTAAGTTAAAATATCAATAAATGTCGAAAGTTGGAATTCCATCGTTAAGGAAAAAAAAAGAACATTGAAGTTGATAGTTTTTTAATTATTTAAATTAAGGATTTTTCATGAAGCGAAGTCAGAAAGTCAAAATGAAAAGATTTTTGTGAGTACCAATGGCAATGGGCTATCTGCTTATTGCCAAAATTCAGTTTTTGATGTGAATTTTCCAATTTGGAAATGGCATTCACGCAGAGCTGTAAATCTCCGATGGCTTCAAATTCCATCACTCTTCACAGAATCCCACTCTGTTTTCGAATCCCTCAGCCTCAGCTTCAGCCTTTCCCTAAACCCTCCGCCGCCCGATTTCGAACTTACCGCCGCAGATTTTCAGCCATAGCCTGCCAAACAGTTCCTAATCCCGCCGACACCTCCTCCGCCGCGGTACGCTACAATTTCTTATTCATCTCTTTCTCAATTTCTTTCTTTATTTTGTCTTAATTTCCTCCTCGATTTTCATTTAGTTCCTCTTCTCTCTACCGAAGGGAGAAGAGAGAGGTGAATCTGAGCTGAGAATAATCTGAAGCTTTTGTGAGGATAATTCATGTGTTGATATCAGTAACTTAGATACTTGAAATTGAGTTATCAAAACTAGGCTTAATTAACTGAAATCAAAGCTAAATGTTATTTCTCAATCTGTTATTTTAATATGTTGGTGAGAAATGAGAATATTTTAGCATTATTTTGGATGTAATGTTGTTTCTCCAAGATTGAATCTCAGTTAACTTTCTCAACTTTCATAGAACGATATGCAAAATAGTTCATCAGTATCGATAAGTTAACTAAAATTTTCAGGATTCATACCGTCATTTTGTGGTCATAGTTCATTTTCTGACGTCTTCTTCTCCAGGAAAATTCGGCGGACGGTCCCGAATCAGTTGATGACAGCACTGGCCAAGCCGCTAGTTCTTCCACTAATAATGGTTTTCCAGAATTTCCCAATAAAAATATCAATAGGCAAATTGCAGTGGTTTCTACCCTTTCAGCGCTGGCTCTTTTCTTGTCTGCTCGATTAGATTTCGGTGTTTCTTTGAAGGACTTAGCTGCAGCGGCGTTGCCCTATGAAGAGGTTTCAATAGTTGTTGCAATTTCTTTGCTTACCTGAGTGTACTCTCATATTCAAGTAATTATTAGCTCAAGAAATAGAAGATTCATGGGGTGTTGTTATCTGATATTAGTTCACTTTTCATCCTTTGATGACTACTTATTCAGGCTCTCTCAAATGGAAAGCCCACTGTTGTGGAGTTCTACGCAGATTGGTGTGAAGTCTGTAGGGAATTGGCTCCAGACGTATTCAAAGTCGAGCAACAGTACAAGTAACGATCTTTCTTTATGTTCTCCACCATTTTATTCAATGTTCATATACCTATTTTACTTGCTTTTCAACCAACAAAAGATTGGTGTCGAAATGTTACTCCACATTTTCACGACTTGTTTTTTATGAATAATCTGACTTGACTCATCAAAACTGGTTTTCTTAAATTTTTGATAAGTACGAATTTGAAGAAGCTGAGTACACAACTTTGGTCTTCCAGGGACCGTGTGAATTTTGTTATGCTCAATGTTGATAACACAAAGTGGGAGCAGGAGCTTGATGAGTTTGGGGTTGAGGGTATTCCACACTTTGCCTTTTTGGACAAACAAGGGAATGAAGAGGGCAATGTAGTTGGCCGACTTCCAAGAAAATATCTGCTCGAGAATGTGGATGCTCTTGCTCGTGGGCAAGTATCGATTCCCCACGCCCGTGTTGTGGGACAGTTTTCAAGTGCTGAAGCAAGAAAAGTGCACCAAATTGCTGATCCAAGAAGTCATGGGTAGATTCTCTTTTCTGAGAAGCATTAGGTCAAGTTGTCTATTCAAATACTATCTGATAGATTTCCTGATATAGCTAGTTCATCTTATACAATATATCCAATTGTTTGTTATATATATTATGAACAATTTTATTTCTCCTCTTGATTGTAAATAAGCCCTCATAGTCCAAGGATTTCATCGTCGGGTGTTTTATTCCTTATACCGCTCTTCGTGATTTAGTCTTTTGCTTCCTTTCCTATCTGCATCTATGCCATCTATTGGTGGGTTTAATGATAAAATAAGTACCAAGGGGTTTGAATCCTTTGTTTGAGATCTGCCATCTATCCAAACTCAATTATGATTAATCTCATTACTTTTTACTCTTTGTACATGTTTCAAAAAAATGAAATAGTTATACAAGAATTGTGATCGAACAGATCAGTTAATCCCTCTGCTTTGATCTGAACTTCGTTCGAAGGAAATGTCCTATGCTTGGCATGTGGCATTCCCTGAAGATGTGCAAAGAATGCTTCACATTTCTGGAAAATGACCTCTACAGTTTAATCAACAAGTTCCCAGGGAGGTTAAGAACAACGACATGATTTAAGATTTTACATTGCATATAACAAATAATGGTGAGGTTTAGGAGGTTAAATGTCCCACAAAAGCTGCTGCTGCTGCTTCTTCTTCTCTTTTCACTGTACCACATTGCCCAATAAACTATTTGTTGAAGGTGAGCTTTGTTCACTCAACCAAGGATCCTGTATGGAAACTGGGGAACTATCCATAACCTCCTCTACAGGAGGCAGACAGTCCTTGTGGTGATTATTCTCCGGTGGGATTATCAATCTCTGGCTCCCCAGTCCTGCAAGCAGCCCGGCCTTTTTAATTGTTATCCCACTTATGGATCTCTCGCTTACGCTACGTGGAGATGAGCAAGCTGACCCTGCTGATGATGCTGCACAAAAATGCTCCTCCATCGATGTCCACCCGCTGCGTCTGATGTTTTCCAGTTCCTCTGCCACTTCCATCATCGAAGGCCTCATGTCACTATGAAAAGCAAGGCATCTGAATGCAAGCTCAGCCACCTTGTGAACGGAGTAAAGAGTCCAAGCATCTCTATGCAGGTCTAGGAAAGGATCAATTAGTTCATCTATACAACCTCTCCCAATCCTATCAATGGCAAGTGCAGCTAAGTTTACTTCACTCTGGGGACGAGTGAAATCAACCACTTTTAATGCTGTTATTATCTCTACTAGGACTACTCCGAAACTATAAACATCACTTTTATCTGAAAGATAGAAATTTTGGTGGTATTGCGGATCAACATAGCCCGGGGTCCCTTGTGGAGCTGTTGAGATGTGTGATATTTCTGTCATACCAAGTCTAGAAAGACCAAAATCTGCAACTTTTGATTTGAAGTTATGATCCAAAAGTATATTGCTTGATTTGATGTCTCTGTGATATATCGGTGGATGCACAGAAGAATGGAGGTATGCTATCGCACGAGAAGTTTCAGCTGCAATGGTGAGCCGAGTCGTCCATGGAAGGCCATTTCCACGCTCTCTCTGGAGATGTTGAGAGAGAGTTCCATTGGGCATAAACTCATAGACAAGAATCTGTTGGCCTTCCTCAATGCAGCAGCCTAGCAAGCGGACTAGATTCGGGTGGCTCACAGAGGAGAGTAGTTTAATCTCATTCATGACCTGATCAATGCTATTGTGGTCTCTATATTTGATCCTTTTTACAGCAACCCATTCATCTTCATGAAGCCGTCCTGCATAAACTGTACCAAAGGCTCCAGTTCCCAGCCTTTGTTTCTCAGAGAAGCCACTAGTGGCTTTTTCTATTTCTTTGTAGGGATATAAAGTAACACTGGAATTTCCAGCGGCCTCAGATAGAAGCCGCTTAGCGCTTGTCTGACCTTTCAGACACATCGAGCGGCGTCGGATGCAGTAACAGATAAGCGTCAGGACAGCCATTAGAACGGCTCCAATAACAATGCCTGGAAATTATAACTGTGTTAGAACCATACAGAACCCTGTTAATGTGTTTTTCTTAATGAAATGGATATTGCAGGGGTTTGATTTGGTTCGTAATATATGATGCATAAGCCATAATATTTAACATTAAATGAAGCAGTGTATAATTTACCTGCAATTAGAGCAGTGACTCTGTTGCTTCCGCCACATTGGCCAGACACGAACCTTGAAGGATTGCACTCGCGAGAAACTGTAAGAAGCCAAAGCATCCACAGCAAAACAAATGTGGATAAAATAAGCAAACGTATAAAACACTTGACAAATAATGAACTGAAAAAAGGAAAGTATCAAATGTTTAATGCTTCTCTCACTTCCATTTTTCAAGCCTTCGGAAAAGGAAATTTCTTTAAAATCGTTTATTTCCTGACTCTATATTGGCAAATTAACAACAAATTGATAAATCTATGTAATGAAATAGAAGCCAGGTACACCTGGAGAGTATTCCCCAAAAAATAATCTTGTACTCCTAACTACGCTGCTTCTGGTTGGTACGAAAATGATTCAAAGCTCTCTCTCTCCCCACCCAAAAAAGCTAGGGAGAGAGAAAGAGAAGAAATGTGAAGAAATTGAAATGGATGACAAGTCTTACCACCTCAATGACTTTTAAGTTTCTCTTATGTTCCATAGTATACTATCTCTCTCTTTGACTTGTATCATTCATCAGAAATCTAGAGACTAGGAACCCCATTTTAAAACGTTAAATGGGCAACCATTCATGGCGGATATTATGAGCTATAGTTATAAACAACCTACGTAAAAACCCAATTGAGGATGCATCCTCTATTTGACCAATTCTTCTGATCAGTCAGACAATTTGAAAATTAAAACATCGTTGGCATCACAGCTTTCCCTCCCCTTTAATATCATGGTCACATGGTTTTCTGTTTTCCCACCTACATGAATATTCTAACTTTTCACACTAAAAGCATATTCTTCTCAAGCCACCAATATGGCACATAGCCAAACTTTCAGAAACGTACAGAATTGACTTTCCCATTAACAAACAATATTTTAAAGGTTTCTCAAATACCCATATATATATTAAAGGGAATTAAAAACCCCTAAATTCAAAGGATAAAAATGGTAACTTTGAAATACATGATGCCACACTTCGACAGAGAAAAGTGAAAAGGGGGGAAAAGGCCAAATAAGCAGCCTTTGATTACTCCTTATACCCAATTTGGATTTGGAAGTATTCAATTTTTTGAAAAATATAAATAAAAATTTTCTTTCTAATTCTAGCTAGGTGCTATGGAATTCAACCACCATTTTCGCCACCGTCACAGGCCAGGCCAATCAAATGTAGACGGGAAGTAGGCAAATGAATTCGCTCACCCACGACAAGAAGGGTAGCATTGACTAGAAAGGATTAGGTGGCGACCTTTTATTGGCTAGCATATGCCGTTTTCTATCGTTTTATTTTCCCAGTTTACCCTGGCAATAGGTAATATTAGGCTACCCACTAAAAAATTAGAAATAAAGAGGAACCCAATGCGTTGAATATTCAAATAACTCAGATTAATTATCCATTTCAATAAAATAGATTATATGTAGCCACCGAGTTGACTCAACGACTCACCTTTCCGGCAACCGACGCCGTCGTATCCATTTCCTTCAAACCCTTCTTTGCACCGGCAACGGAATCCTTGGTGGTTCCGTGGGGCGTTGATAAACTCAGGATCGGCATTTTTCGAGCATTTTGCGGAATCATTGGAGGCCACTGAGAGCCACCACTCTAACTCAATGACCTGGAATTGGAGAGAAGCGGTCTGATTTGACGTGGAATCAACGAATGCAGAGGACCAGAGGAACTGGCACTTATCTTCTAAACGGGGCAGGAATCCAGTTTCGTTGGTCTTGGTGAAGCAGCTGGGATTACTGCGTCTAATGCCGCAGTTCTCTGGCAGAATCTGGCTAAAATTTGCTAATATTGCGCATGGAATACGTTGTTGAGTACAATTCAAGAGGAGACTGTTGCGATTAGTGGGCCAATAATTTCCGCCGAACAGTTCTGAAACTGATACAGAGAAATTGCACACTGCAGGAAGTTTGACGAGGATGCTCCTCTCAGTAATGTTCTGGACCTGGAATCCACCGATTTGAATCTCACCATTTTCGCTGCAACTCAATCTGATTGGGCTCGATTCTGAGAATCCAAACGCATACCGTACAAATTTAGCCGAATCCCCGGTTCTGCAGGACGTCAAGTTCTCAGCGATAGTTGAAGAAGCCGAGAAAATTGCGATAATAACGATCAAACACTTTTGGTGCAAAGTCATGGTTGACTGCAACTTTCTCCAACTAAACGAGAAACAAACAGAATCATCCCCTCCCTCCAAAAGAAGATTTATCTCCAAAACTAAGCAAAATCAAATCAAATAGCCAGTCACGAACAGGAATTGATCAACAGAAACGATCCAAATTCGGAAAGGTTTCCAAGTGTGAGCAAATCACCGTCTTCTAAACTCGATTATTCTCGATGAGTTCGCAAGTAACCTTAAGAGTAAAAATATTTGAAAACTCCGAAATTAAATGAAGAATTTAAAGCAGGACTGCGATGCCGTTGGGGAGGTCATCTATCCTAATTAATGCTCGCAGACGAAAGCAAAGCAAATACCAATACCAAAGACGAAAAAGAAAGAACAGTTTCTACGGTCAAATATTAATGAATTGAAAACTCTACCTCTGACCTCTCTTGAATGGCAGTAAATGCTCTGTTGATCACACTGAGGCCGATATGAAAATTCTGGTCAATTCCAGAGGCAAACTTACAGATTAGGGTTTAATCGAAGAAAAATTTGATCTCCGAAAATCCTTCTCCAAAATGACCCGAATTGCAAGGCTTGTTGATTTTGATGGAAAATGGAAAGGGAAAGCTGTGGAGAAGAGAAAACGAAGCGTGAAATTCAGAGAAAAGCTTCTTCTTCTTTGAACGTCTTGATGAAGTTCAATGCCTTTAAAAGTTTAATGTAAATGACCAACTTACCCTTCATCGTTTCTAACTCTCTCCCCCCACTCACGCTAATATAGTAGAATTACGAAAATAGCCTCTATCTCTCTCTCTCTCTCTCTCTTTTTTCCTCTTAACATTATTCAATGTACATTTATTTATTCTTTAATTATTAATTTATTTTCCTATAGCATCATGTTTTTGGGAGATATGTCATCAATTTTGTGGCAGTTAAATCTGCTACCAGAATCATTTAAATGCAAAAGAGTTTCAAAAAGTTGAAGGGAACCATTACCATGTCTTTAAAATAAATAACGACTTTTGGAAGCCAAAAATTTGAAGGAGAAATTGCAAAAACTACATCTAGAATGGGGATTTTATTAATTTTGACCCTCAAACCTTCGATTCAAACCCAAATTACTGATTGCGTACGGATACTTGCAAATATGGCAAAAAAAATAGCTTTTTTTTTCCAAAAAACGGAGGTCCAATTGTAAAATTACAAATTCATCCTTTAATATATCTGTTATATATCTATAATATATCACTGAACTTCTAACACGTCTTACCACTGATATACGTATGATAATCATTGATTTACCACGTTAATATAATACATATATATGCGATATCATATCAAGCTTACCAATATAGAAATGATATACCACTGATATAACTATGGTATCTACTGATATAACTTCTTATATGATTTACCACTAATGTAACACTGATATATACTTAAAATGTTTCTAATTTACCACTTATATACCTCTGATATAACCATTATATCTACTAATATAAATATGATATATGTGTATTGATATCATACTATTATATCCAATATTTTTTTCAGATGAAAACAATGATGCAAGATTTTTTATTTTTTATTTTTGAAATATAAGGTTATTATATAAAATGTTTATGTGAACCATGCACGTCCAAAAAGACAAGCTAAAATTTTGATATACTTTATAAATTTTAAACAGTTGATATCTTTTATATTTAGTATCTAATTAATATTAATTTTGAATAAATAGTAGTGATATAGTAATCAACATTATTGATAATATTAGTATATTAATCAACAAATTGAAATGATAAACTAGAATTTAAATGGCTGATATACCACTAAAAATTAAACATTCGATATATCTTATATTTAGTATATCAGTTGCAAATATATTTAGTACATCAGTTGGAAATATATTTATTATATCATAAATTAGAAGTACATAAAAAAAAAAATATATATATATATATATATATATTATGTATAATACGCACATTTGATGTATATCAGTGGTATATCTGATAATGTATATCATGGTACATCTGATATTGTATATTAGGGGTACATCGAGTGTATATCGGAAGTATATCAGAGTTACATCGGATGTACATTAGATATATATTTGATATATATCATATAAAAACTTACATAAGATGTATATCAGATATAGATTTGATGTATGATATACACCAGATGTATATCAGATATAGATATACATCAGATATCATAAGGGTAAAATTGAAATAATAAAAATTCCGAAAATAAAAAATCAAATATTTTGCTATATTTGAAATTTTGAAAAGTTGGTGACATTTTTTGAAATACATAAAATATTTTTGCTATCCACTACTGTTAGTTTGGGTATATTTTCAACCATTTTATAAGTATGAGAGTACAATCCAACAACCGCCTCATAATTTGTGAGTGATTTATGGTTCTATTATATGAATTCTATATTTTGAATGATTTGTGTATTTTTCAAATTGCAATTAATATAGTTATGACGACAATGTTTGATTGCAACAATTTCATAAATTTTAAGGTCATTGTTCAAATTAAAGTATGAGATTAATTTAAATGATTTATGTATTTTTCTCAAGAATCCATAATAAATTATGATAATGCACAATTTTGGCAGCCTAGCAGGTGACGTTGATGAATCTTCCTCTATCCAATCTAGCAACATGAAATAATAAGAGTCTTATATCGGTGTGGTAGTGAACTCGAAATACCAGCTCCAATATTTATGTTTCTATGTGGATCATAGAACGGCAAGTTAGTATGGTGTAAATTGTGCACTCGATATGGCTTTAAATCTCTACCATTTTATATTGGACTCCTATCAAAGGGACAATTGGTTTTTACCTCGTACAATGTTGTATAATCATCATAAATGCGTCAATTTGTAGGGCTGTAGGCAAGTTTGTTACTCGAGTTTGGAAATTAAGATCCGATAGGCTCGGGTAAGTAATTTCTTGGTCCTGTCTCCAGCCCAGATAATTTCTTTATGCAGGCCAATGTTCGGTCCGCTCACAGTTCTGAGTTCGTTCTTTCAAAACTCAACTGCAACCCATTTCACTCCTATCCAAGTTTCCACATATAGCATTCTCATCCCTCTACAACAAATTGTCTTCTCAAAACATATAAATAAACACAAACTCTATATATCCTCGCAAGACATATATTAACTAACTTTCTTTATAGATTCGTAGGTACCAATTCCCACCGGTTTATTTGAATCGTTATATATTAGCTATAATATACCGATATTTCTTTTTAAAGGTAAACTTGAATGCTAAAGAACTCGATGAGAGAGATGATGAGCCAAAGAGGACCACAATGCTTAAAGTACAACCAAATTATTATGGCTTCTAAAATTCTCTCATTTGAAGTGTTATCCACACGGAGACTTTGATGCTTGTGGTTTCAAAAAGGAAACATCACAGATAGTGATGTCCCCTTCTTTCCCATCTAAATATACCTTTTTCAACATATTCCCTTTCTCTCCCTCTCTACATTGTCAACATATATTAAATTCCCTTGTCGTTTTATCTTATAGAGCCATTCAAAACCCAACTATTTCAAATAGTTTGAAAATTAATTCACGTAAATAAATGAGCTTAATAAATTTTCGGGATTGTATCAATTTTTCCATCAAGACATTGTAATTCTTACTTTGTATTGAACTTTAGGTTGAAAAAATGGCTTAAAGAGTATTCTCAATAGAGGTGGGAGAAAGACAATACTAATTAGATTTTTTTTTTTCAATTAATGAGTTTTAAGAAATTTACTCGGTAACTAGTCTTGTGCGTGTTGATTTTCTCTCGAACTTAATTTCGTGTATTGATTTATTAAGACTTGATGTAATTGTCATTTTTTTGATTGGAAAAAATAATATCCTTCAACGTGAATACGAATGATAATTTCAACTTGAATAGAAATGATAATTTTTACCTTTAAAATTGTTAAAAGAAATATTATAGTTTATGTTTAACGAATTATAAAATATTTGTCTAGTACAACATTGATAATATTTTAAAGAAAAACAATGTTAGAATTGGTTTATCCAAAAAAATAACATTTTGCAAACTTTGATGGAACTATTTTATTGTCTATTTTGTGGGATCAAATAAAATTTTGTCCACAACCTGATTTTCATCAAAATAAATTAGTTTTTTTTTTGAGATTTTTATATAACTTTTGTTAAAATTAGTTCACGAACGAGTGAAAGATAAAAATTACAATACTTAACGTAAGTGAATCTAAATTGATAAAATTGAAAATTTACGATAAAAATTGATACACTAGATTTAAAAAAATTTTCCTTTTTTGCAATATTAGTGCATAACTTAAAAGTTTAGAGGAAAGATGGATTAATTNTTCCAAGAAAGAATTTTCTTCTCCTGATCATAAAAGAAAACATAAAAAAGAAAAAAAAAATATTCTGTGTAAATAAATATAAAAAGTAAACAACAAAGTAACGGAAAACTTTAGTTGCTGATTGGATAGCGGCTAAATTCTTCTGTTTTGTGAGAGAATGGTTCAAATCAAATCAAATCAAATAAATAAATAAATAATATATATATATATATATAGTTATTTCAGGTGGCCAAAAGAAGCTATTTTTAATAAACAGTCTTTTATTTTATAAGAAAACTACAATTCACAAAGGCATGTCTGAAATGAATAAGTGCTTTTAAATCATTTTTTCTCTTTTAGTTGGTTTTACGGAGAACCTTTTGATTTTATGAATAACTTTTTTTTAACAAAAGAATTTTTCTTCCTATAAGAATTATAAACACGAACGTAATAACAATTTTAAAGCTTAAATCTTCTTGTTGTTAAATTTTAAGGTTCATTTAATTTTAATTTATGAATTTTCAAATATCTTATTCTTTGCAATTTATAGAAATAACTATTTTTTTGGCCTCTCAAAGCCTAAAATATCTATCTTAGTTTTTATATATTTGTTATATGTTTAATCACATATTTGAATTCTTATCCAATTTTTTAAAATCATTTTTAAATTTTAGCTTAAGATTTTTTTAAATCATTTTGAAAAAATTGATAAAAAAAGTGTGAAAATAGTATTTGTAAACTAAAATTTCAAAAACATAAAGAAAAATGATTATCAAACAAGATTTTATACCTTGCTTTGTCATTTAAAATATTAATGTTTACTTTATAAAATATACATTAATATTTATATAAAAAAAATATTATATCATCAGTTAAATCTTCAACCATAATAATAATAATGGTGAGGACTAAAATAATTATTTCTAAAATTTTAAGACTATTAGACTTGTTTAAGATATTTTTGAAAGTCAAAACATAATAATTTAGAATCAAATGACTGAATGAGTTCTAAACCTAATTTTAATATTTAAAGAATGGTGAGCTCCAAAAAATAATTTTGAGAAGAGGAATAAGGAATTTTTTTTTTTTAATTTCTAGTAGAAACAGTCTCTCCACAAAATTTTTAGCGGCAAAAGAGGAGCGAATTTTGGTTGGGAAATTGCATGTGGGTGAGTGTGTGGACAAAAATGCCCTCGGGGACGCGGAAATGATATAAGAGAGAGTCAGCCATAAAATTATAAATAAATTGACCAAAAAAGGTAACAAAGTATTTTGTGGACAGCATCTTGCCCCCACCACCTTAGGGTTAATTATTTATTTTTTTTTTTAGGATAAAAATTCTAATTCCAC